TATCGACTAGTCTATTGTCTAGTCTATTGACTAGACTATATAGTCTATTAGCTAGCCTATTGACAAGTCTATCGACTAGCCTATTGACTAGACTATTAACTAGCATATTGACTAGTCTTTAGACTATAATATTGAATAGTTTTGGACTGGTCTTATGAGCTAGTCTTTTGACTAGTCAATGGACAAGCTTTTGCATAATCTATAGAATAATATATTGAATAGTTCATGGGCTAGTCTATGGACTAATCTATAGACTAGTTTTTGGACTAGTCTGTATACTACCTGTTGACTATATTATGGACTAGCCTATTCGATTGAATAGGTTAAGGACTAGTCCATTGACGAACTTATTGACTAGTCTATGACCTATTATATTTACTAGTCTATAGACTGGTCTTTGAACTAGACTATGCACTAGTCTATAAACTAATCATTTTTATATTAACTATTCTTTGGACTGGTCCTTGTACTAGACTATGGACTAGACTATGAGATACTCTATAGACTAATCTTTTGACTAGTTTATGGCCAAATCCATGGACTAGTCTATGCTATATGGACTAATCGCTAGACTGGTCCTTGGACTAGACTATTGACTAGTCTATGAGCTAATCTATAGACTAATCTTTTGACTAGTTTAGGGTGTAGTCTACTGACTGGCCTATTGACTAGTCAATAGAATATTCTATTGAATAGTTTTAGACTGGTCATATGGGCTAGACTTTTGACTAGTGGATGGAGTAGCTTTTGGGTAATCTATAAAATAATATATTGAATAGTTCATGGGCTAATATACGGACAAATCTATTAACTAGTTTATGGACTAGTCAATAGACAAGCTTATTCTATTAAATAGTCGAAGTACTAGTCCATAGCTTAACTTATTGCCTATTCTATGAGCTATTATATTGACTAGTCTATAAACTGGTCTTTGAACTAGACTACGGACTAGTCTATAAACTAATCATTTGACTAGTTTATGGCCTAGTCTATGAACTGTTATATTGAACAATCTTTGGACTGGTCCTTGGGCTGGTCTATGGTCTAGACTATAGACTAGTCTATGGGCTAGCCTATAGAGTAATCTTTTGACTAGTTTATGTCCTAGTCTATGGACTAGTCTATGGGTTAGTTTATGAATTAGTCTATGGACTACTATATCGACTATTCTATTGTCAAGTCTATTGATTATCATATTGACTAGTCTGTCGACTATTCTATTGACTAGTCTTTGGACTATGCTATTTACTAGTCTACTGAGTACTCTATTTACTAGCCTATGGACTAGCTTTTCCATTCCTGCTATACAAAAATTCATTTATAAACAGATCATTCGTTGAATATCGTCATAAGTTAAAAAATTTTATTTTTATTAGAAATGAATTTTGAATAAAATAGATTTAAACGTATATATTTAAAAACATTTTTATAAAATTACATTTTGAAATATGACAATCTACGCGCCACCGTTGTTTAAGCAGTAAATATAATAAACATGTATGTATATAAATATCTACATATGTATGTATATATAGCTATCTTTAAATATTTGTTTAATTTATTATTTTTTCTATTAAAACATAAGCTTGTGTATAATAAAAAAAATACTTTTTTTTTTTGCTCTAATACTTTTCCATCAAAATAGAAAAGTTTGCAATGAATTAGGACACATCATCAGGGAATTAAAAGCAAACACTCGGTAATATTTTATGTAGAAATAAATTAATACTGTTGTTGTAAAAAAGAAACAAGATTGAAACAATGAAATAATTTTAACTTGAATTTTTTTATGTTTCCACGTCAGAGATATTGTTAATTAAAAAAATATAAATGTGGATTTTGAAAGTTGAAAAATAATTTATTCGAAATTTATATGCTTTTTCAGTAATTGTGTCAATATTGATAAAAAAATCGATGAAAAGTTCTCGGTTTATAGTTATTTTAAAGCTGTTAGATAGGGTTAATGATGTACGAATTCTACTTAATTATTTAAAAAAATATTTTGTTTAAATATGCAAATTTAAAAATTTTCAAATTTAACACTAGGTGGTAGTCTTTGTTTATTTTTTTTCGAAATAATTTTATAAATATGCTTAATTAAATTATTTTTATGCGCATTTTTATAGATTTTTTTGTGTTTTTCATTATTCTAAAATATTTTTATTAGCAACGCTCGTTGATGGAGATGGGGTATTAAAAATCTAATAATAGAATTATATGTCTAGCAGCTATTGAGAAATTGTTGAACACCTACATGTAGTTTGTAATTTGTAGGAAAGTAATTAAAAAAAATCATATAAATTGTTTGAAAAACAACACGCTGCATTTACGTATATGGGACTTTTGACAGTAAATTAGTATCGATTGAACTATAACGAATTTTAATAGTCTAAACTAAAATATTTAATATAAATCATTGCATTTTATTGCAAGTTTTTTTTTTTTTAAAAAAATTGTAACTATTAGTTTTAAATAGTTTTATAGACTAGACTATAGACTAGACTATAGACTAGAGTATAGACTAGACTATAGACTAGACTACAGGCTAGACTATAGACTAGACTATAGACTAGACTATAGACTAGACTATAGACTAGACTATAGACTAGACTATAGACTAGACTATAGACTAGACTATAGACTAGACTATAGACTAGACTATAGACTAGACTATAGACTAGACTATAGACTAGACTATAGACTAGACTATAGACTAGACTATAGACTAGACTATAGACTAGACTATAGACTAGACTATAGACTAGACTATAGACTAGACTATAGACTAGACTATAGACTAGACTATAGACTAGACTATAGACTAGACTATAGACTAGACTATAGACTAGACTATAGACTAGACTATAGACTAGACTATAGACTAGACTATAGACTAGACTATAGACTAGACTATAGACTAGACTATAGACTAGACTATAGACTAGACTATAGACTAGACTATAGACTAGACTATAGACTAGACTATAGACTAGACTATAGACTAGACTATAGACTAGACTATAGACTAGACTATAGACTATAGACTAGACTATAGACTAGACTATAGACTAGACTATAGACTAGACTATAGACTAGGACTATAGACTAGACTATAGACTGGCTATAGACTAGACTATAGACTAGACTATAGACTAGACTATAGCCTAGACTACAGACTAGACTATAGACTAGACTAGACTAGACCAGACTATAGACTAGACTAGACTATTGAAAATTCTAAAGGTATTTTTTCTATAAAAAATAATTAATTCACTAACATATTTTTTAGGCTTTGCACGTTTGGTTAAGCCAAAAATATATTTTGAAAATATATAGTGGGTTTTCTTAACTACTACCTACTACTAGTATACTTCACTTACATCAAGCGTAACCAAATTATTTAACTTTACTCCTAACTTGTCATAGAAGTGTTTCCGGGTTATTTGACACCTGCCGATTACCATAAACCTTATCAAGTTTTGAGAGAGCCAGAGAGCCATAACTTATGAAAATATTTATTACGATTGTTGCTAGTTATATAGTTAGTTAGTTTGTTTGTTTGTTGTTGTTTGCTTGTTGTTTGTTTGTTTGTTTGTTTGTTTGTTTGTTTGTTTGTTGTTTGTTTGTTTGTTTGTTTGTTTGTTTGTTTGTTTGTTTGTTTGTTTGTTTTGTTTGTTTGTTTGTTTGTTGTTTGTTTGTTTTGTTTGTTTGTTGTTTGTTTGTTTTTGTTTGTTTGTTGTTTGTTTGTTTGTTTGTTTGTTTGTTTGTTTGTTTGTTGTTTGTTTGTTTGTTTGTTTGTTGTTTGTTTGTTTGTTTGTTTGTTTGTTTGTTTGTGGTTTTGTTTGTTTGTTTGTTTGTTTGTTGTTTGTTTGTTTGTTTGTTTGTTTGTGTTTGTTTGTTTGGTTTGTTTGTTGTTGTTGTTTGTTGTTGTTTGTTTGTTTGTTTGTTTGTTGTTGTTTGTTTGTTTGTTGTTTGTTTGTTTGTTTGTGTTGTTTGTTTGTTTGTTTGTTTGTTTGTTTGTTTGTTTGTTTGTTGTTTGTTTTTTGTTTGTTTGTTTGTTTGTTTGTTTGTTTGTTTGTTTGTTTGTTTGTTTGTTGTTTGTTTGTTTGTTTGTTTGTTTGTTGTTTGTTTGTTGTTTGTTTGTTTGTTTGTTTGTGGGTTTGTTGTTTTTTTTTTGTTTGTGTGTTTGTTTGTTTGTTTGTTTGTGTTGTTTGTTTGTTTGTTTGGTTGTTGTTTGTTTGTTTTGTTTGTTTGTTTGTTTGTTTGTTTGTTTGTTTGTTTGGTTTGTTTGTTTTGTTGTTTTGTTTGTTTGTTTGTTTTGTTTGTTGTTGTTTGTTTGTTTGTTTGTTTGTTGTTTGTTTTGTTTGTTGTTTGTTTGTTGTGTTTGTTTTGTTTGTTTGTTTGTTGTTGTTTGTTGTTTGTTTTGTTTGTTTTGTTTGTTTTTGTTTGTTTGTTTGTTTGTTGTTTGTTTGTTTGGTTGTTTTTTGTTTGTTTGTTTGTTTGTTTGTTTTGTTTGTTTTGTTTGTTATGAATCGTGTTTTATGCATATGCTGCACTTAGCTCCTCTGTATCCGATTTTCCTCCATGTTCATTTGTCCATTCCAAGTTTCTGTTACAGAGGTTCAATAACATCGCCAGTGAAAAGGAGAAACTTAGAAAAAAGCAAATTGCTTCAAATAGAATAAGTAGTTTCAAAAATATGCCTATTAAATATTTTGGATTCTTTTGTTAAAGTCAAACGAAAAATATGTGTGTATTTTCTTAATTTCACTTCCGTTTAACACAAATAACTTTCTAAAGAATTTTAATTTCTATAGTAAAACTACAGAAATGTAGACCACTTTGTTAGCGTAACTTTTGAGGTTTCAGCCTTATTGTTATGTAAAATAATTTCTAAAGAAATTGGAAAATTTATGGCAAAACAAAAAAATAAAATAAATGAGACTTTTATTCTTAATTTAATATTTACGTTCTTCTTCTCTATTTTTATTTCTTTGCAGTTGTTAAGTTCCACCAACTCCAACCAAGCAAAACCGACAACTTTATGCTTTTCTATAAAGGACACGCAGACGAGAGTAAAAATTTTACATAAAAATCTCAACTAAATAAAAAAATAAAATCTAAATCAAACCAAAGCAAAGGGAAAATTAACTGAAAAGATTTGCTACAACAATTAACAGCAACAAGCTCCTGTAGAGGAGGGAGTAATGGGAAAAAGGAACAAGTTTTACCAAGGCAACAAATAGAAAAACAAATACATACAAAACAACTTTTGCTAGGAAGTAAAAGGGAAGATGTTAAACAGAGAAAAAAGCAGAAGCTAAACAAAAATTTTCATTTGAATAAATAATAACACTTAAGGCAACAACAAAAACAACAACTATAGCAACGATAATAATAACAACAAAAACAACTAAACAAAAAAATCTCTACGAGACTAAAAGCCCACAGTAGTACCTTTGACAACAACAAGCAAGAGCACACAAATACACACAAAAAACAAAGCAAATAGAGGCAAAAAACAAATAATGGGAAACGGAAATAAAATAAAGACAAATTGAACAAGGAAGTTAAAAGTTCAATTGTGGAGAGACTAATACTACTTAAGGCAAATGTTAGCAGCTGAGAGAATTACAACAACAAAAAAGCGTTAAAGAAAAAATAATTACAAAAGATGATGGTGAAAAATGTCAATTAGACTTTAAGCCATAACCCAGTACCAATTTTTATAAAGTACTTGAGGTTACAGGAGGGGTTACAGCTGCTACAGCAAATAGACTAACTAAGCAAAACAAAAAACTTTAACAAAACAAGGACTTAACCTCAATTATTACATTCAAAGTAAAAGAGAAGGGGGAGCTAAAAAAAAGTAGGAAACAATGAGCGCCTTAAATACAACACCCGCCTCCGAACTGGTCACAGCCACTTGGTCTGCCTTAGTGGCACAACGTGCCAATACCACCGAACCGTTTATAGCCACCAGAGTTATTTATCAGCCGCCACCTCCTTACTTAACGACTGAGTATAATACCATGACTTATTCCACAAATGCCCCAATACCTGAAACGGAAGGAGATGACATTATTAATAATAAATTGGTACAAATATTCTTCTGCATCCTATACTCAACGGTGTTTGTATTGGGGGTCTTTGGCAATGTATTGGTGTGCTATGTGGTGCTGCGCAACAAGGCCATGCAGACAGTGACAAATATCTTCATAACAAATCTGGCTTTATCCGATATATTACTATGCGTTTTGGCGGTACCGTTTACGCCTCTATACACGTTCATGGGTAGATGGGCCTTTGGTCGTACCCTGTGTCATTTGGTGCCCTTTGCTCAGGGTTGTAGCATCTACATATCTACCCTAACACTTACATCCATAGCCATCGATCGCTATTTTGTGATAATATATCCATTTCATCCGCGCATGAAACTTTCCACTTGTATAGGCATAATCATTAGCATATGGGTGATATCCTTGCTGGCCACTTTGCCGTATGGCATGTATGTGAGGGTGTTTTCCGGTGATGCAATGCAGTCTGGCTCAAATGAAACTTCTGCATATAATTACACCAGTTCCGACAATATATCCTATGACTACCAGCGTAATTTTGATTCCCATATGCAGGCGGTTAACACCAACAATAATATGGTTTTAGGCGAAACGATACCCTTTTCTCCCAGTTACTGTGAGGAGAATTGGCCTTCGGAACGTTATCGCAAAGTATTTGGTTCTGTTACCACCATTTTGCAATTTGTTTTGCCCTTTATCATTATATCCATTTGTTATATATGGATTTCCATTAAACTAAATGCTCGCGCAAAGGCCAAGCCCGGCTCGAAGTCGTCACGCAAGGAAGAGGCCGATAGAGATCGTAAGAAACGCACCAATCGCATGTTAATTTGTATGGTGGGTGTATTTGGTCTTTCCTGGCTGCCCATAAATCTGGTCAATATATTCGATGACTTCTATGTTAAATCCAATGAATGGCCTTTTTATACACTATTGTTTTTCGTGGCCCATTCCATAGCCATGTCCTCCACCTGCTACAATCCTTTTCTCTACGCCTGGTTAAATGAAAATTTCCGCAAAGAATTTAAACATGTCTTGCCCTGCTTTAACCCTTCAAACAACAACATTATCAACATAACCAGAGGCTATAATCGTTCGGATCGTAATACATGTGGTCCTCGTCTTCATCACGGCAATGGTGGTGGTGGCACTGCCACCCGTGGCAGTAGTCTCGATAATGATGATCAAGATGATGGCAATGCCATTACCCAAGATACCTGCATAACTAAAGATAAATTACTCATAATACCCCGTGAACCCACCTATGGTAATGGTAATGCTGCTCTCTCACCCTGCCTGGAGCGGGGAGTTAATGTTTCTTTGGTGCAATGCAGTAAACAGGTTGAAATTCTACTAAATGACAACGATATTAGACATCATCATCATCACAATAGTCGTCGTAATCGTCATCATAGAGACGATGATGATGTTGATTCGTGTGATGAACAAACTATCGAAATGCGTTTCAATGAGACTCCGTTTATAAGTTCGGATAATACGACTGCTATTAGTATTATGGAGACGAGTACGAGCAACGATCGTAGCGGCAGTAGTGAAAGGGATTATCGATGTAACTGAGGAAGGGTAAGTGTTGATTGGTTTAATTAAATTGTTTATTGCTATTTATATATATGTTCTGTTAGTACTCAGAGATCGTCTTCATTGAGCACTAGTGGATTTTGGGATTTTCCCTTTATCAGTGTTATAAACATTTTGTTTAACTGAGCTCTGGTATTGCTTTATATTGGCGAACATTTTTAGATTTCAGTCAAGAGTCAGATTTAACTTTGGCATATTGGTATGTCCTCGGGAATCCAAAGAAGAGCTCAGTACCATTAACTGGAGTTGAGCGCCTCTATTTGCCAATTCGACTTTCTCGGAATGTTAGCTCAATGAGTTTTATAGATCTATATCTTGTATATGGTGCAATTATGGTTTTTGAGGAGTTGATGGTTATCCCACTTTCTTGAAGCCATTTCGATATTAGATTAATCGATTTTAGAATAGACGCGTGCGTATGCACATTTACGGATGCATAAGTCATTTAGTTTTTAAGGTAGACTACCGATAACTAATGTCCACAGTAATTGAGATAGTACGACTCACTGAAGACAGTCTCTGGTAGCTAATATAATGCTCGATTTTCTACGTAGTTCAAACTCAATGACTCTGTATGTCAACATTGCCAGTGTCCAGCTGGAACGCCTTTTCTGTCCTGAATGTGTACCATTACACTAATCCCGGACATATTATTTATTAGGAGGCTCTTCGTCGTCTCGTTAGTGTCCTAACTACTCACTCGATTATGTTTATAGTTCAGCCTTTCTTACGTTGAACGGTTAACTTCTCCAAGTTCCCTTACCTTTATATCAAGTACATTCGACCTGTCATTGCTTAAGCATTATTCTCGAGAGTCCTGGTACAAATATGTTATAGAGCTTAAAACGGAAGAGTATTCAGTTAGGGCTATCTTACAGATCAATTAAATTTAATATCATAAGCTGATATCGCACTAATTACCTCATGGGTTTCGGAAAATATGTTTGCACAATATTCAATCTACTTCCCCAGGAAGCTAGTATTGGTCATAGTTACCTATTGCCTTTTCACATCTCTCCGACTAATCTTTTGTGTCAAAGTACTATAAGCCAAGTTACCATGTTCGGAAGTAAAGCGTATCCCAGAGACCTGTATTTTAAAGCAAATGAGGTAAAACTTCCCAACCGCTTCTTTCGAAATTGTTTTTTTGAGCGTTGAGAGTTGTTATTATGGAACTTTATGCTTTCCATTCTGGCCACATATTGTGGGTATTTTTTGGCCCAATACTAGTCTATAAAGAATCAGTTGCATTTCTCCTTTGATGATCTGGCCAAATATTAGCATCTCATATTAGATAGAGCACCTTTTGATTACACCAAATATAGAGAAATACCACTAAATACCTTAAAATCATATATATTGAACTTTGATGTGGATTCGACTGGTTGGCTGATCTCTTCTTAAGTTTCTGGTTATCGTAATGACCAGACTACAACGACTAACATCCCAGCAAAATCTTTGTTATAACATACCTACTTATAGAACAACTGATTTTGCAATGGCTTCTACATTTCTATTTTGCTATTTTGTAAGTACTTATTTAATTAGTTATTTGTAAGCAAGCGTGATAAGTACTTGGTTCCAATACCACCGTGTTAAAGTAATGACTTCAAATCCTTGAAAAGCGGCTTTTATATACTTTTTTTAACTCATTACTTTTTAATGTTAGTTCTTGCTGGGATATTATTTTCATTGTTATACTCGAAAATAAAATGAAATGATTTACCTAAAATACTTTATATTTGTTTAAAACCAATCAATTTTCTGTGTCTTATATAGAAATATAAATACATTTATAAACATTTGGAAACATATGAGCTGAATTAGCATGATAAATATAAATCTTAAGTCTTTATTTCCTGTATTATTTCTGTATAAGTATTTTACATTTATTATACCCTCCACCACCATCAGTGGTGATAGAGGGTATATATAACTTTGTCATTCCGTGTGTAACACCAAGAAATATTCATCTGAGACCCAACAAAGTATATATATTCTGGGTCCTTATCAAATTCTGAGTCGATTTAGCTATGTCCGTCTGTCTGTGTAAAACACGCTCACGATAAAACGAAGCAATAGAGTTTAACGAAATTCACCCAAAATGTTTTTCATTTTCCTAAGTTATTTGGTATTGAAAATGGACAAAATCGGTTCACACCGGGAAAAGTTATGAATCAAAATTTAAAACAACCTCGAAAAAATAAGCATTTTTTACACATTCTGATGTAATTTTCTCGAAAACTATGCAAGGTAATTCCATGAAAATTACCACACATTCGTTTCTGCACAAGACCTTGAACTCTGCTGAAAATGGCCAGAATCGGTCTACAATTTCATATACCTCCCATACAAAAGTGCATATTCCCGGAAAATGGGTTTTTATACCCTCCACCACCATCAGTGGTGATAGAGGGTATATATAACTTTGTCATTCCGTGTGTAACACCAAGAAATATTCATCTGAGACCCAACAAAGTATATATATTCTGGGTCCTTATCAAATTCTGAGTCGATTTAGCTATGTCCGTCTGTCCGTCTGTCTGTGTAAAACACGCTCACGATAAAACGAAGCAATAGAGCTTAACCAAATTCACCCAAAATGTTCTTCATTTTCCTAAGTTGTTTGGTATTGCAAATGGGCAAAATCGGTTCATACCGGGAAAAGTTATGAATCAAAATTTAAAACAACCTCGGAAAAAAATAAGCATTTTTTACACATTCTGATGTAGTTTTCTCGAAAACTATACAAGATAATTCCATGAAAATCACCATACATTCGTTTCTGCACAAGATCTTGATCCTTGCTGATCCCATACAAAAGTACATATTCCCGGAAAATGGGTTTTTTGTTAATAACTTCCGCCACAATGTCGATATCTTCACAAAATTTTACAAATTAAAATCTTATGTCAATAGAATTCTTTCAGAGGAAAAATTTTTTGGATCGGTCCATAATTGGACATAGCTCCCATACAAGGTCCCCTCCCGAAAATCACTTAAACGCGCATAACTCATTACTAAATTAAGATATCCAAATAAAATTTGGTATAGGTATTGCCCATATGCATAGAAATATTACTCTGAATTTTTTTTCTGATCGGTCCATAATTGGTCATAGCTCCCATACAAGGTCCCCTCCCGAAAATCACTTAAACGCGCTTAACTCATAACTAAATTAAGATATCCAAATAAAATTTGGTACAAGTATTGCTTATATGCATAGAAATATTACTGTGAAATTTTCTTTCGATCGGTCCATAATTGGTCCTAGCTCCCATACAAGGTCCCCTCCCGAAAATCACTCAAACGCGCTTAACTCATAACCAAATTAAGATATCCATATAAAATTTGGTACAAATATTACTCATATGCACAGAAATTTTGTTGTGAAAGTTTTTTCCGATCGGTCCATAATTGATCATAGCTCCCATACAAGGTCCCCTCCCGAAAATCACTTAAACGCGCATAACTCATTACTAAATTAAGATATCCAAATAAAATTTGGTACAAGTATTGCCCATATGCATAGAAATATTACTGTGAAATTTTTTTCCGATCGGTCCATAATTGGTCATAGCTCCCATACAAGGTCCCCTCCCGAAAATCACTTAAACGCGCTTAACTCATAACTAAATTAAGATGTCCATATAAAATTTGGTACAAATATTACTCATATGCACAGAAATATTGTTGTGAAATTTTTTTCCGATCGGTCTATAATTGATCAAAGCTCCCATACAAGGTCCCCTCCCGAAAATCACTTAAACGCGCATAACTCATTACTAAATTAAGATATCCAAATAAAATTTGGTGTAAGTATTGCCCATATGCATAGAAACATTACTGTGAGAGTTTTTTCCGATCGGTCCATAATTGGTCATAGCTCCCATACAAGGTCCCCTCCCGAAAATCACTTAAACGCGCATAACTCAGTACTAAATTAAGATATCTATATAAAATTTGGTATAAGTATTGCCCATATGCATAGAAATATTACTGTGAAATTTTTTTCCGATCGGTCCATAATTGGTCATAGCTCCCATACAATGTCCCCTCCCGAAAATCACTTAAACGCGCTTAACTCATAACTAAATTAAGATATCCATATAAAATTTGGTACAAATATTACTCATATGCACAGAAATTTTGTTGTGAAATTTTTTTCCGATCGGTCCCCTCCCGAAAATCTATTAAACGCGCATAACTCATTACTAAATTCAGATATCCATATCAATATAAAATTTGGCACAAGAATTACTCATATGCACAGAAATATTACTGTGAAAATTTTTTTCGATCGGTCCATAATTGGTCATAGCTCCCATACAAGGTCCCCTCCCGAAAATCACTTAAACGCGCATAACTCATTACGTAATTAAGATACCCATATGGTACAAATATTACTCATATGCACAGAAATATTACAGATAATTTTTTTTCCGATCGGTCCATAACTCGTCATAGCTCCCATACAAGGTCCCCTCCCGAAAATCACTTAAACGCACATAACTCATTACTAAATTAAGATATCCATATAAAGTTTGGCAAAAATATTGCTCATATACAGAGAAATATTACTGTGAAATTGTTTTCCTATCGATCCATAATTGATCATAGCTCCCATACAATGTCCCCTCCCGAAAATCACTTAAACGCGCTTAACTCATAACTAAATTAAGATATCCATATAAAATTTGGTACAAATATTACTCATATGCACAGAAATTTTGTTGTGAAATTTTTTTCCGATCGGTCCCCTCCCGAAAATCTATTAAACGCGCATAACTCATTACTAAATTCAGATATCCATATCAATATAAAATTTGGCACAAGTATTACTCATATGCACAGAAATATTACTGTGAAAATTTTTTTCGATCGGTCCATAATTGGTCATAGCTCCCATACAAGGTCCCCTCCCGAAAATCACTTAAACGCGCATAACACATTACGTAATTAAGATACCCATATGGTACAAATAT